AAAAAAAACGCAGACGTGACATGACACAAACTCCTGAGTAAAAACACACCTGTCCTATGGCACCGAAGCCGCGCCCCCAGCCAGGCGCGTCGAAAGGCCGAAAAGAAGGCCAAAAAAGAAGAGAAAAAGGCCGCGGAAGCGGCCGCCCAGCGGCAACAGACCTACGAAGAAGTTGCGGCCGAAGCCCGGGCGAAAAAGAAGCAGGCGACGGCAGCACCGCGCGCCGCCCCGGTGTCTTTTTTGTGGGGGGGGGGTGCGACGCGCGAAACCGACCCGGCAGGAGAAGGACGCCCGCCGCAACGCGGCCAAGCGGGCGAAACGAAAGCAGGTGAAAGAGGCACATTAGCAACCGTGTTGTTTCTTGCATGGGAACTGCGCCAAGTAGGCGCAGTGGCAAGGGCAGCAACAGTTGTATTTTCATCCTGGGGAACCGAGAGAAGACCAGAACCCCCCCGAGAAGAAATAACGACCGGCCGCAGGGAGACGACGGCCCAGAGAAAGACAAGTTGCTAGAGCAGGAGGCCCGCCACAACCGCGACAAGCGGTTGAAGCGGTTCCTCGCAGCCGGCGGCTCGCGCAAGGCCACGACCGACAAGGCGTCGCAGCAGGAAAAAACGGGGCCTCATATGAGTCGGTGTCGAAAATTTCGTCAGGGACATGGCGCCAGGGCAATACATCCAAGAGAGACATGTTCCAATGTCTAGGGAAAACGCGACAAGACGCACGAAAAAAACGAAACCTCAAGGACTCAAGGGTGACAAGTTACATGCCTCAATTCCCGGTGCTTGTTTGGGTTCGTTTAGGCATGTCGTCCTGTGACAGCAACTCTCCTGAGCGTGCGTGCTCAAGGGTCTGCAGGGCGCCCCTGCATGAACTGGTTTGTTCTTAGTTTGACAAGCAATGAAGCATTGTGATTGCTGTGCCCCAGCCCATGAGAAAAGACTAGGCTTTGGAACCAGATGAACGCCTTCCTCCGGCGGGCTTGGTTTGGAAGGGTGAAAAAGTCAAAAAATCCACATCATGAAACGAAACCCCAAAACGATACCCCAACGACGATAGAGGAGAGAGGACAAAGGCAAGGTCCTTAGACAGTCTCTGTCCGTCGGCAGGCGCGCGGTCTCCTGACGGAGTGGCCCGACGCGCTCCCGCAACGGCGGGACAAACGCACCACTGCCTGGAAGGAGGAGGATATGAAGGCCGCAGTGCCTGCAGCGACAGCGGTGTCGCTGCCATGTCCCCCCATGTCCCTGCAATGAGACGCGCAAACACACACGCAGAAGACAAAAACGGCAGGCCGGGCGGGAGCACTATGACCGGCTGGCCGAAGCCGCGGCGGACCGCCTCTTGGCCCAACTGCCGAGCCCATCAAGCGAAGACTTGAAGGCATCGCTGGAAACCTGGGGCAGAAAAACCGAAACCCGTCACCCCGTCTGCCGCCAGGAGCCGAGTGAAGTGGCCGCCGAAACAGAACCGGAGGCACGGCAGAGGCAAATCGAAGATGGCAGGGATTGCAAGTGCTCCAAAAGCCAGACCCGACCGCGCGCAAAGGCAGAGGCATGCGCCCCGCCAAAAAACAAAGAAAAGCGCAGGCGGAAGGGAGTCGTGACCGCCGAAGACCTGCTGGAGGACGCAATTTTTTCCCGAAAGCACCTGCGAAGGGTTTTTCCTTAAGCACTGCTGCCTATTTCATCTTCCTTAATCTCTTTCTCTTACTTCATCTTCTCCACTCTCTCTTCCTTACTCTCTTTCTCTTACTTCATCTTCCCCACTCTCTCTTCCTGACTCTCTTTATCCTACTTCACCTTCCTTACTTCATATTCTTTACTAACTTTCTCCTACTTCACCCTCACAACATCATCATCTAATCATCACCTCATAGGTTATCATATCATATCAGGTTATAATATCATATCACATCACATCAATGTCATAACATATCATATCATATCATGTTTTAATATCATATCACATCACATCAATGTCAGATCATATCATCTCATATCATGTGATAAAATAATATCACATCACAACATAACATATGAAGTAGAAGTATCAGATCAACAATCTCACAAAGTACATCAGAAGTAGATATTGATAGGTAGGTATTGATAAGTGGGTATAGACAGGTAGGTGTAGGTAGGTAGGTGTAGGTCGGTAGGTGAAGATAGGTAGGTGAAGATAGGTAGGTGTAGACATCTTCCTTAAGACACCTACCCAACTTCACCTACCCAACTTCTTCTTTATTCTTCTCTTTAGGCGGCGGGGCGGTGCGAGCAGGTCTTACGAAACGCAACCCTCTCGTGGAATCGTGGCCATCGATCGCGCGCGCGTGTGGTGAGACGCGAATCGCGTTTGTCCGTGAGCAACCCTCTGCGGAGATCGTGCGTGTCGATCGCGCGAACGTGTGGTGAAACGTACATTTTTGGTGTGCGCGGTGCGTTCCGCCATTATAATTCTGGTGACAAGGTTTTGTCGATTTTGCGTTTCCCCATTGTAATTCTGGTTTCAAGGTTTGCCCTCGAGCAACCCTCTGCGGAGATCG